AACCGTCCAAGTGGTAGTTTCCTTTAAGGGAACCCCCTTCCAGTTCAGTCCCACATTCCCTACTGAGCACCAGCAAGCTTTTGCATTCCGAGTTTCTATCGGAGCTCTTTCCGAGCAACTCTGGCTACTTGGGGCACGACGCGGGCTTGAGAAATGGAACCAGCTCTCCCGTCAGGAAGACAGACCGTGATTCAACCGTGTCTCCACATATGTGCAGTTTGCTTGCCTCTCCGGCCGTCCTTTTGTTTGTCTGTCTTTCTGCCTCTCTGTCTTACTCCTTTGTTTTGTGTGTTACCAGAAATGTTGGTTTTTGCCGTTTGTTTTGTTTGTGTTTTTATGTCTTTGTGTCTTTGTGTCTTTGTTTGTTTGTTTGTTTGTTTGTTTGTTTTGTCTTGTTCTGCTTTGTCTTGTTTTGAGCTGTCCTTTTCGCTTGTTTGTTTGTTTGTTTGTTTGTTTGCTTGTTTGCTCGGTTGTGGTTTTGTTTGTTTCATTTGTTTGTTTGTTTAGTCTCTCTGTCTGTCTGTCTGTCTGTCTGTTTGTTTGTTTGTTTGTTTGTTTGTTCTGTCTGTCTGTCTGTCTGTCTGCCTGCCTGTCTGTCTGTCTGTCTGCCTGCCTGCCTGTCTGTCTGTTTGTCTGTCTGTCTGTCTGTCTGTCTGTCTGTCTGTCTGTCTGTTTGTTTGTGTTTTGGTTTTATCACTAAAACCTCTCCCAGCCGGCAATGTGTCTTTATTACACATTTCGTTGTTGATCGCGTCGGCTTTGGAGTTCAAGGATCGCTCTCTTTGGAGGAGTACGGGTGTCTTTCTTTCAGGGTACCCGTTTTTGCGTTTCAACATGTGTTAAAGGAGAACCAAAAGGAAGCCAACCATGTATTGGGGTCCCCGACCCGTATGTTGTTTCTTGCTTGCAAGCAATGCCAGAACCCCTTTTGCCTGCTTTGCTTCCTTTCGGAGGCCCATGTCAGTTGTTTATCCGCGACATTGAGTTGGTGCAGGGAACGAGTATGGGTTCACTCCCGCATTCCCTACTGAGCACCAGCAAGTTTTGTTGTGACACGGTACAGTTTTATCGGCAATGCTTTTGAGATTGAATCTGCATGCCAAAAACAGGGCTCCTTAAAAGATACCATGTTGCAACCATTTGAACCATGGCAATTTTTCAACACCAAGAAGGGACACCGCCATTTACAAGTTGCCATGTTCGATCGGTGGTTTTTCATGCATCCGGATCCCTAAAAAGTTGACTCGGTCGATACTGCCCAGCTCTTCGGGTAAGCTGATGCCTTCGGGCCCGAGCCACCAGGCTCTCCCGAGAAGCTTCCGGAGCCGCGCACTTTGCCGTGCCGCGTGTTGCATTGCGCTGAAATGAGGGGCCCCGGCCGCCCCCCCCAAAGTGGTGGTCCTCTCAGGTTCTTTTCCTCCAACCCTAAGAACGGGTACCTTCAATTCAACTCGTTTGATCCCTGGCTTGATGGCCAATCAACGCAGTCCCTCACATCAAGTGTTTTTAACAAGGGCGCCAAAAGCAAGCCGCATCTCAATTGGGCACTGTCCCCAGAGTACCTCGCCATTGCCACCTAGGCCCGCGCGTTTCATCGACCCACAGCCACCTGGCAGGGACACAGGGTTATCTCTGCGGGGCGAGCCGTTGAGGGAAATTTTAGGAAACTGCGCTTGCTGGAAGCCAACATGGAGCGCCAAAAGCGCGAATCCGCTTGTACAGGAATCGAAGATCATCCAAGTTACTTGTTCCCAATGTTTTGTGCTGGAGTTGCGGGAATACCTTCTTGTTGATGAAGGGTGCACCTGAGAAGAAAGATCGTTTGCATGCTCACGTTGGCCGAACTGATGCCGGCTTGCTTGCACTCATTCATCGATCTCAAACTGAGCGAGGCAACAGCAGGGCGAGTATCGAAGACCCTTTTGAAGCTCGAGATATTCAAGCTGCAAGACGCAATGCAACTCGTGAAAAAGAGCAAGGCCTGGGCTGCTGCCAAAATGGAAAAACGTGACACACGGTGGAACATGTCCCGTAATTTTGTGTAATTGAACCCCAAACCATGGGAATTTACAGGGTTGCCCTTGTTCCCTACTTGCAATATTTAGGGCATCCACAAAACAGCTTTGTAACCAGTCCACCTTTGGTGTGTTCCAAACAATACGGGTTGGTATCTCAGCACACGCGTGCTTGGTGCATGCCGCATATGTTCCTGACAAACAACATGGCCTTGAAGGCTTGGCTCATGTTTCAAAGTTGCATTTGGCACCCCGCAGAGGGCGCTTGTGAAGTTCACTTGTAATTGACTGCAAGATGTTATGCTAGTTGCAGCTACTCGCGCCGCTTGGGTGACTACCAAGTAGTTTGAAGCATGAGAGTGCAATTGACTTCCGGGTCGACACATTTTCTTCCGTGTGATTTGCCGAAGCCGGATGCTAACCTTGTGCCGGTATCTTTTGGAGCACCCTTGCGTGCTACATATCGAGCTGATTGCTAGTTCTCAACCATGCTCATTTAAAGTTTCTGCATCCGTGTTTGATTTGCCAGCCTTTGCCTTGCTACCTGTCATCCTGATGACTTTTGACCCATTTCTTGGTAGCTGTCGATACTGGAGCAGAGGAGAGAGGCAGAGTCTCTTATCAACATCTCAGGCCCCCCAACCTCAGAACCTCAGGCGCAGTTCAGAGCCCCAAAGGAAGCTTGTCAACAGTCTTAGTATGAATTGATCATGACACCAGCGCGTCAACTTTAAGTGATATTCCACTAACATGGTGTGATATGCAAGGGCTAACTGTGCAACCGCCACAAGACTGGGGCGCAATTTCAACATATATGGACACCATTTGGGTGCTAAGACGGGCGGGCCATTCAATCAACCGCTGAAGCGAAGGAGCGCGCATAAGGAGCCACACTGTGGCCAGATTCCAGCGCCTTCACTTCTCAATGATGCCAATGAGAGTCAACACGCGCCCTGCCACATGCCCAGCCCAGGCTGCAAGAACAGTCTGTGCCTCAGCATGTGTCTCCTATTGCCCTGGCAAACAAGTCCTAGCAGCTTTGTCGTTGGCCCAGTTTATTTTGTGTCATGCATTCGCTTCGGGTCCACAGCTTGTCCCCGGTATCGAATGTATATAAACCTGCGAGGCAGCCAGTCGTGTAGGTTGTTTCGTAGAGATTTGTGTATGTTCATCTGGATGGATGCCAAACGTGTGGCTTTTGAGCAATCACTTCTTGCCCCATGCGTCCACAACTTTTGCAAAGGGACACGTTCAGGGTATGCAGTTTCACGGGCATCACAAGTCGCTGTCGACATATCAGGCTGCCTTCTTGTCCGCCCTTGTTTTCGCATCGGATTACCACTGCTCATGGAGCCAAACTCGCTGTCTGGCGGCTTTCCCTTGCTGGCTTGAAGGGGCACCCGAGGATGTTCCCCAAACATTGCCGCTAGACACCTCCTTGGGAAAGGGTCCTCAAGGCTTCAACGCCGCGTCTTGGACAGCGACGAGGAGTGGCACCGCGAATGGCGGGAACGAGCCGCTGGCCGGTGTTTTTTTTGCAAAGAGAGAGTCTACCTGCCATAGGAACCCATTCGACATGCCCAGATTGGATGATCTTCGTCCGATTCCATGGGCAAAGCTAGGAGTACGGTCGAAGGGAATTGGTCGTAGAGGCTTGGCATGAGAGCGATGCTGCGACGCCAAGTCTCGGTCCTGAAAGGCCTTTATGTCTTTGGGAATGGTTAATCTCCGTGGGACCTGCACTGGATTCATGACCTGTGGATGGACGAAATCATGGACCGTTCAGAAACCCTGGAATGACTCGATTTCCCAACCTAGATGCCAACAAACATTATGGTTTCCACCATGGCTTTATTTTGTGGTGCGAAGGGATTCCGTCCATCAGTGTGGACGTTTCAAATCAAGTTGCCTTGGTAAAACACGCATCAAGGAACCGCTCGAAAAGGATTTTCGCCTCGCAAGCCCTCCAGGAGGTTTGCATCTGCGGGACGGTGGTCCAGCGTTTTTTCCCTTGCCTTCAACCTCGGGTGCGCCTAGCCCGGAGCTGGCCAGAGCTGGAGACGTGACCTTGGTGGTTGCGTGGTCGTCGGCTTGATGCTTAACTATCTAGGGGTTGTTGTACTACATTATGGGAGTACACCTGACCCAACTTGGTTCAAAATACCACGGCTTTATCCAGCAATATGCCTAAACGGGGGTCATTTCCCAGTGGGTGTAATCCCAGGGTGCAATACACAAACCCTTGGATAGTTCAGCCTTGAGGTGTTTGGAACATGTCTGTTTTCCCACGTAACACTAACCAGCAAGACGCCCAAAATTGCAGGGGCTCGAAGACAAAGCCAGTGTACGTGTGTTTGTTCCCGTGTTTCATGGAAGGTGGGATATTGCTACGGTTTCTGGAGATCTGGGGATGCGATGTTTTGGGCGACAAGGGGATCTTTGGTGTTTGCTTGCCCTTTCGTTCAAAAAGATGTGGATGCATGTCGCAAAGAATTGACCCGCACACACGTGCAAGATCTTTTCATCATTCAGTGGTTTCTTCTCAATTCGGCCAGTCATTCGCTCCCCTTTTGTCTTTTGTGAAAGACTTGGCACGAGTGCGTGTGTGTGTTGTCGAGTCGCAAGGGGTTTGATTCCTTGAGCCAGAACGGAGCACGTATCGTCGTCGGCTCACTTCATCATTGGTCAACTGCCTTTGAATCAAAAGGCGTACCGCATGCATGTTATTGAGCAGATCGGGAATCTCAAGTACCATTGCGGAACCTGAAGCTCCTTGTGGCAAAGTCACCACTGTCGCCACCCAAACTGCTGTTGGCATGACATAGTTGCGGCCCCCTGCCGCGGCAACCAACCAGCACGTCAGTCAAATTTGACGAGCACGTACTGCACAAAGACAGACACGCAGAAGAAACTTGGGCGTGATGCCAGAAAGGCAAATGCCTGCAAAAAACCCTCAGGGAACCCCTCCCAAGTCTGACACGTGCACAGCCATACGATAGAGCGGTCCACCGTGACGTTCCGCCCGTGGATGTGAGTGGCATTCTGCCTGCATGACGCGCCACGGCGTTCCCTGGCAGCACTGAGTGCATGGAAGAGCTGTCATTGACTTGCAGATTCTCTGTAAGCCACACGAACTTGACAACCATTTTGGGAATGCGCAGTCATGCACTCCAGAGGCGTGCATGTGTGCATGTGTGTGTGTGTGTGTGCGGAGCATCAGATTTACCCTGATGCCAACTTTTCAACATGCAGGGGCGTGTGGCACTCTCATCCTACCACACGCAATGAAGCTGTGGGTGAGAGTGGGAAGCAAGGCCTGATCTGCCTTGTGTACCTGCACCTTTTGAGTGATTCTGAAAGTCATTTTGGCCCTCTTCTTTGCCGCTGTGTGTGCTTCATGTTGATTCTGTAACGTTTTCGCCTCTAGAGGGAAACCGAGTGCTTTGCAAGCCGAAACTTATTCATGCAGAACCTTATCCAAGCCGAGACTTACCAGTTGTACTCGAAAGATTAGAACCCTCCATCTGAAGTCTAAGTGTGAACACCCCATTCGTGGGGACCCTCGGGTGTACCCATCGTGTGACCCCGGGCCGGTACGCCGGAAAATTTGACCTCAACGTGCTTATCATAGAACAGCGGAATTTCACGTTTAAGCAGGAACGAGGTTTCACTAAAGGGAAGACAGCCACCTCTTCATAGTTAAGTTTCACAATCCTGGATGTCGCTGCTGGCAGATTCCTTTGTGCCTTGCGTTGTGATGGGAGCTGCTTGCTGATTGCATCAATGCCGTTGAACTTGATGTTCTGGTTGTGCAATGCTCGGGTTGCGCGTGCATGTTCTGTTTGCGCAATGCTTGTTCCATGATGTGGCGGATCGTCTTGTCAAGGTCGTCTGGCAGGCTGAGCCACCCCTTGCGTAGGTCCGTTTCAAGGTCGTCTGGCAGGCAGAGCCACCCCTGGCATAGGTCCGTTTCGATGTCGTCTGGCAGGCAGAGCCATCCCCTCGAATAGGTCCGTTTCAAGGTCGTCTGGCAGGCTGAACCACCCCTTGCGTAGGTCTGGTCTGGCAGGCAGAGCCACCCCTGGTATAGTTTCGAAGTCGTCTGGCAGGCGGAGCCACCCCCTCGAATAGGTCCGTTTCAAGGTCGTCTGGCAGGCTGAGCCACGCCTGGCATAGGTCCGTTTCAAAGTCGTCTGACAGTGGGGGCGTGTGTGTGCGGAGCATCAGATTTACCCTGATGCCAACTTTTCAACATGCAGGGGCGTGGGCACTCTCATCCTACCACACGCAATGAAGCTGCGGGTGAGAGTGGGAAGCAAGGCCTGATCTGCCTTGTGTACCTGCACCATTTGAGTGATTCTGAAAGTCTTTTTGGCCCTCTTCTTTGCCACTGTGTGTGCTTCATGTTGATTCTGTAACGTTTTCGCCTCTAGAGGGAAACCGAGTGCTTTGCGAGCCGAAACTTATTCATGCAGAACCTTATCCAAGCCGAGACTTGCCAGTTGCACTCGAAAGATTAGAGCCCTCCATCTGAGTCTAAGTGTGTGTGTGTGTGTGTGCACGTTCAACTGTTCAATATCCGTGGCATCACTTCACTGGCACTTGCGCGAAGTGCATAGCTGACTTGGACAAAGGTGGCAGAGTGGACTTGGCGGATCGCCATTATGATATTGTTGATTTGTGTGTTGTGCCATTGACAAACTTCGGGCAGCTGTTGGGTAACTTAGAGAGCAAATGTTGCTTTGCTCCTGTTTATGGTAGACTTGAACAAGGCAAAAACAGGGACCCTTCTTGGATTTCGGGAAAAGTCACCACGAATACCTTACATTTGCACGTTTGCAGGCTGCCTTATCTCCCCTATTGACCACAAGAAACAAAGGAAAAGGGTCCAAGCAAGTACATTTGCTCTAGCTACTGTGGATGGACGAACTCCTGCACCAGCTGGAAACCAATGTATTTACTGGGGAACATCATTCCAGGGTTTCTCAGGTGGTGCAGGATTTCGTCCATCCACAGTATGTTGCGGGTTCCTCCAGAGGCAGGGGGAGTGTTTGGGGAATCCAGGTTCAGTGGGGTGGGCGACTGGTGGCTGAATGCGTCGAATACACTGGAAAGAACCAGTGTGTTTTGACCGACACTCCTTTGGACAGTGAGCATAGTACATAGATATGGGTCAAAATTACACCAGGATATAGACCCGGGTTTTAGCCACAGGTCGAAAAAAACCATTCCCACTCACTTTGGGTACCTATTCTTGACCCACAGCCATATGTATGCATAGAAAACATGTTCGTGGCCGCGCGACCTTAAGATTCTGAATGTGAGCGTTTAGAACGGGCGCGCAGATTGCCTGGGCTTGTTTGAAGTGGCTGGGTGTTGTTTTCAAGCAGGTTTTCCTTTTGATGTGACCCTTGTTGCGGAGTTTCTCACGTTCTTTTTGCTTTTCAAGGATTTTAGACTCAGTTCCTGAGTTCCTGAGTTCCTGAGTTCTGAACTTTACACTTTTTGGGCAGACCATTTTGGTGGCAAACAGAAAGTTTGAACTTATTTTTGACCAATCTACTCAGGAAGTGAGTAGATGTGACCCTTGGTTAAGTGCTGGAAGTAATTTCCGCCCTTTCAATACTTGCGTGCCACAGTCTTTACTGAATATCAGGTGCATAACACCGACACAAACGGCTGCGTGACAAGGGCCTGCATCTACATTTAGGTCTCTCACATGTTCCAGGCATGCTCTTGCAATGGCAATGCTGCGGTCAGCTGCTCCTGCATTGCCAGCTGTGAAACCTGTACCTGCTTTTGAGTCTTGACATGTCTTGACATGTCTTGACATGTCTTGACATTGCACTTTTTGAGGTGTACACGACACCCAAGTTAGTTTGATGAGCCGAGGGCTACGGCTGCGCCGATGACGACGATGACGCACGGGGCCCTGGAGAAGATTCCATCGCATGCAGCACACAGCCGGGAGATGGGACGGGCTCACCCCATGCGGTGTATCCGCCTGTCCGCTATGGACCCACCAGAGGGTTGCTTTTGAAGGAAACGAGTCTTCCAGGATCCCTCAGTCAGGTTCCATTTTCGTGGATGGGAGGGTAGCCCAGTCTGCTGCTTCCCTAGGTTTGGTGGTCATAGCGTCCCGTCCCACGCAGCTGCCGGTCGCTCGCTCGATGGGTCCGCAAACAGAGGAACAAGCCACCCTTCAAAAATCAATTGTAAGCAACATATGGCTATGAATGAAATAGTTGGTGGACATCAATCCACACCTAAATGATGTCTACTAAAGGGGTCCCCAATTTAAATTCATGCCCATGTAAAGGATTTGCATTGCAATAAAGTCAGCCCTTCACTTGGCTGCAACCCTCAACCAACATCTCACGCGCCCTGAGACCCTGAACCCCCCCCCCTCCCTCAGCGCATCTATCCATTTGCGCGCCCAAATCAGCCCTAAGACCACCCTGACACCCAAAACCAATCTCGACCTCGCCTTTGAAGTCACAACAATGTCTCGGATCGGAGGCCATTGACTCCATGTTGCGCCTATGCCTGAAGGCTGCGAACCGCACAGAGGGAAAGAGGGAAAACACCCTCATACTGGACAGGATCAACCTGAATTCGTTGATTGGATGTGGCTCTAGTTCTTCCAGAGCTAGGGTTTTGCGGGTCTTTGGTCTTCCTTTCCATTTCCCGTCCCATGTTTGAGCAGACTGGGTTTGCCCACCCAAAGCGAACCAAATGCTCCCTGGAAGAGGCCCGGTCTGCTTTCCCACGCCTGGAGAACCGGTCCGCCGAGCCGGCGGAGGAGGGGAAGGCGGGCGGCGCGGGCGGCGGTTTCACGGGGCACCGAGTTGCAGTCCCTAGATTTCCCTTGCTGGTTTTAATCATCACCTTTTTGGCCCAAAGGTGAGTTTTTTTTTGGGGGGGGGGTGAGGTTTCAAGGGAAATTATAGGGAGCCCTGATTTGGATGCCTTTGAACCCCCTGCTGGTTGCAAGGGAACATAAGGATCAGGGTCCCTTTCCCATTGGTACGGGCCAGCGGCCAAAGGTAAGGACCTTTGACCTTTGAACTTTGTGGGTGTTCGTGGACAGCTGGCTTGGTTCGAAATAGCTGGCTCGAGGCTACTCGTGGCTGCTTGTGGCCGTAGTGTTCAAGCCTACAAGGATGTCAGCCAAGGTTTACATTGGTTCTTGTTTGCATGACCTACTGTAGATGGAAATGCTGCACCACCTAAGAAACCCCGCAATGTGTTGATTCCCCTGTAAATACCAACAAACGTTATGGTTTCCCTTGGTTTCATTTCGTGCGAAATGGATTTCGTCCATCAGCACTGGTCGGGCCAAAGGTAAGGATCGATCCGGAGGCTTGCTGTTGCCCGCGCCCGAAAACTCGCCGGCGGTGTTGACAGGTGCTTCTGAAGATCCATCAGCGCAGAGAAGACGCGAACCTCAGCTACGAGGCGCAAGCATTCCATTTGCCCGCGATCTCACAGATTCGGATAACGAGCTCGCCATGACAAAGGCTCTTTGCTTGGGGATCCCCTCAATTTCAGGTTTTGGAAGTATAGTAAAATTTGCAGATTCGATGTGTATTCGGCAAAAGGCGAACAAAATGCACAGCCAACTCCTTGCATAATAGGGAACCACCTCACAAGTGGCTGGCGGACAGGAATCCCCACGTAAACAATGTCCATCAAAGGGTCCTTCGTCAAAATTCGCACCCAAACATCACCATGGTGCCTGGACAAGTCGCCTTTTCGTGTATGGACTCCGCCAAAGCCTGCAGCTTGAAAGGCATTGACATGACCTGAGCCACAACCAAAACCTGGATAGATGAAGGTTCGTAAGGGGCAATCCCAACTATAAATGGTTGCGGCCGCCTTCTTAATCCTTTACATGGTTCTGGGAAGACCGTTTTAATGCCGGGTTTTGATCATGACACGACCTGTTGATTGCTTGAACAAAGGTTAGCTGTCCACAAGTTGGCTCGGGCAAGTTCAGCTTCCCCGTGCTTGGAATTGGTTTTGGGGTTAGGGATGGGGATGGTTTCCCAGCAAACCTTGCAAGAACCAGGGGATCAAATCCCCAAACCAATCTGAACAGGTCTGAGAAGTGCTTTTCTATTGCCGGTTGAGTTGTGGGGGCCAGGCCTCCAGAGATGGCACAGGGGGGTCAATATGCTGTTTTGATTCTTCGGCAAAAAATATACACGTAGGATTTTCTGGGTGTTATGTTTTGATTATTCGCAAAACATGTCGATCCTGAGAGGAAAAGAAGGCTCGGCTTTTAACCGTGTTGCGATGCCAGTGAGCACGAACACAGCGCGCACTCTGAGCACCTTCAGTCTTACTGGCCGCCATGTGTATACAAAAACAAACTTCTGTCAAGAATTGTGAAGTGATGGATGAGTCATTTCAGTGCGGAAGAGTGTTTGCTGCACGTCACTGTCCAAGCACAGGCTGCGTACACACGGAGGAACCTGCACAGCAAGACTCTGGGCCGTTGCGAAGCTCTTTTGCGATGTTGGTGTGGCTTGGGACTGGGAGGCCATTTTTTTTGTGCCCTTTCGGGCCACCTTGTCCGGGGGTCGTGTCCCGCGGATCCATTGCTTCACTGCCCAAGCCCTCTGAAACCTGGCAGGTGTGGGCCTCCGGGGAAGGGAAGCCGGAGCCGCTCGGACGCCGAAGGGTGCGAACGATTTTAAAGCGCCAAACAAATCAGCGGAGGGATCCCGCTGAGCCTGGAGCTGTATACACGACTTGCAAGGTGAACGTTGCATTGCCGTGAGTCATTCATTATCTTTGGCACCGTTGAGTGGCTGTTGAATTGAATGGTTGTGAGCCTTTCATGCTTTGTCGCCATACGCAGATTGCAGGTAAATAACGCCCGAGTATCCCGACTAGAATCTGCCAAGAAGAGGTTGGCACAATTCGAGTCTGTGATGCCAACCAGTTGAGCAGCGACCCATCGCCTCTTGCATGGTCAGTTGTTAGTCTTGTGCGTTTCTTGAACAATCATTTGCTCCTACGTGTTAATTACTGCACATGTTGAACTCAACGCCTCTGGATGTCCTTTGTGGTGCAATTTTGGGTTGCGCACCGTGTTGCAAATGCTGGAGGCCCTTTTGACCTCTTGCATCACCGAAGCATTTTGCTCAAAGATCAAAGTGGTATCAAACATCTTGACCAGTTCCATCATGGAACTTGTTTGGATCGAGAAGAATACGTTCTTGGAGTTGTCTTGCCCGGAGGAAATGTACGCTCCGAAGCTCAAGCGAAGTCAGAGCTGGTCTGAGCCTTCGTGTACTCTGGGCGGTTTGGCAGAAGCCAAACAGGTCCAGGAGCCCAGGCCGGATTCGCCACCGGTTTCAGCCCATGGGGACGAGTCCCCGAGCAGTGAGACCTGCAATCCTTGCGTGTTCTTTTTGTCCATCCGTGGGTGCCAAAAGGAATGTGGATTCTGCCATGGCGCGCATGAGACCACCTTGAACAAGCGTCCTCGTAAAAGTACACGGGACAGGCTTAAGGGTGCGCTCCAAGAATTGATGCAGAATGTTCAGGACACGACTGTCAAGCAGTCGGAGTTGCAATCCTTTGCCGGGCGAAGCCCCTACGCACGCTCGTTGACAATTGGCATGCTTGATGAGACAGACTGAGACTGGCCAGTCGGCCTGTCAAAAATGACACGGATCTTCGAAGCTTCAATAAGTACAGGGAAAGAACATTTGGGAAGGCTAAAAAGGATGCAATTACCACGGATCAAGCGTGGCTGTTGTTTTTGCCGCTACTCAGGATGAGGGTCAGAAGCAAGCCAATGGCTTAAACTTTTTCCCACGATCGTCTGGGCAAATTATAGCAAGCTCACCGATTGGGTGCACAACGAAGTCTTGGATGAAAGTTGTTGCTTGGGGAATTCCTTTTCCTCCCGATCTGGGAATTAACAATTTGCCCAGAAATCCTGCACGATTCATTTTTAACGGCGGCATTGCAATGCCTTTGTGCGTCTGCACAGCTGACGGGAGAAGCAGGGGATCTTTTTCTGCATCTTGACCCGCACAAAACACCGATCTGAAATTTTCCATCCCACGCGCTGATTCAAATACGTCAGTGCCCTTGTCTTCACACCTTGCAAGCCTTGCTACCAGGCCTTTTACCAGGCCACCCTTCTGGAGTGGCTTTGGTTTCAGCCAGACCTGCAGCGCTCAAAATGCTGACCGACTTTTCGCTTGTCGACTATGACCATGTATGGCTACTGCCATTCTGTTTTGTTTATAAATATTCCTTGACGCAAAGAACATAACGGGACATATCATCACACACATATATGTTGACCGTCCCATTAGAAGGCAGTGTATCTTGATAACCTTGTGGTGTGTGAAGGGCCACTCATGGTAAACCATTTCAAGGCGCTCCCTTGGGGGCGTTGGCCCTTCTGAGGATACCCATGAACGTCTGCGCCACCACAGTGGCCTCCTGGATTGATGAAACCCTCGCGCGCAGGACCTGAAGACGACATGCGGCGTGTTGAAGTTTGAAATCGGTATACCTCGTTTCTGAGATCCATTTAATGAATTCTCCGGTGGCCTGTGCTGATTTTGCATTTTCTTGCCCTTCCAATTGGAGTGTCCCGTGAGGGGATTGAAGCGCTAATTCGGCAGATGTGGACTTGTTGATTGGGGTCGGTGCGGACTGACGATGCAGTCATTTTGGACGGGTTTGGTGAAGTGCGCGAAGTGTGGAACGCGAAGAGAGGCAATGCAGGCAAAGCTTTGCACGGGTCCTGAAGAAATGCTTGGGGTAGAAATGAATTTCCGGGAACGTTCCCGGCAAATGTGCACCTTTGCCTCAAATGTGTCAAGGAAGGGCTTTGGGTAGGCCGTCCTAAAGTGTACCATGTGCAAACCAGGCAAAATCAAGCGCTGTTTTTTCTTTCTTCCCCCCCGGTTGGGTAAGCCACCGGCTCCAACCCACTAAAGGGTAACCTGAGCTTATGGTTCGTTTCGCGACTTTTTGGCAGGCCTCCAGTTCGATTTTTGTCATGTTCCTTTGGGATTGATCCAAAGGTCCGATGGCACGATCAGGGAAACCGCCAAAAAAGATGGCTTTCCTCGCAAATAGTGACCCCATATTAGTCAACCCCAGTTTGTTGATAGGTTCCCCTCCAAAAGTGATGATTCCCCACTAAACCCAGCGACACCCCCCTAGTAATAAACTGGGGTTGATGAATACGGGGTCAACATTACATGGGACGACCACCAGGGAGACCGCCCAAAAAGATATGGCTTTCCCCACACAGGAAAAGTTGGCCATGCGGCCTGCTTGCAGTGGGCAAGTGCTGAAATGCAAATCCAGCAGTTGGCAGCGGCTACCGGCTTCATTTATGCAGGCTGAGATCAACAACTGTGTTGACCGTAAGCCAAAAACCCAAACCTCAACTGGGCTGACATGGAGCAACTCCAAAACCAAAGCGCCTAAACCCCAAAGCTAAATAAGCATAAATACATCCGACTTCGAAACCCCAGGAAGGAAGCATGGGTGCGGGCGCTACTGCTGCTGCTTGCCACTGCCAACGCTGTGGTTCATGTCGCTGTGAGTAGAGGTCTGAGGTGTTTGCGGGCAGCTTGTTTTTGCTGGGCTGTTGACTCCAGGAGCCCTTGGCTCACAGAGTGCCTCGACGCCGTGGAAGGACATCTCAAGATGGTTTGCTTCCACTGCGACTTCTCTCTCCCCCCATTTTGCGGCATGATTTTGGACGAGCCGGGAAGCATCATGCGCTTTCTCTCGGCATCGGAAGCGCGCCCGTCGCGCTTGTCAGGCGCTTTGGTCAGCCGCTCCTTGGCAAGTACCGAGGAGGAGGACTTTGAGGACGGAGTTTCGGAAAGGCAAGCTGGGCAACGGAGACGATATAGCATGGAACGCCCATGTTGAAAAGGCCCCGAAATGTCCACTTCAATGATTGTTGGAAAGCAACCAATTGCTGCAACATTTTACCTTTCTAGAACTAGGGTGGACATGTCTATTCATTCCTTGTGTTGGCTTAGGGTGCACATTGGCCCAAAGGCGTGCTGATGCCCGAGGGTAGGAATGTTTGCCTTTTTTTTCTAAACTGTCGCGTCAACTCTGATCGTCAGAGCCCTAGCTTTGACATTGGGGCGACAAAGGTTCGTCGCACTCTGAGACCCAAGTGAGCAGAGTGTCGGTACACTGCAGTGTTTGGAACGTCACGACATGAGACATGGCAGAGGCATCCACTGAAGTGTTCCATGCCTTTGATTGTGCTCAACTCATGCTCATCAATATCTTATGCCGTCCATACTCCTGTTTGTTTCAATTCGGTGTTCATGGTGTTTACCGTGCCGTGCAGCGATGGACAGTAGACGAAGCACCCTGTATCCTGTTGCCATCCACATCTACCTTTTGTGTGCCGGAGCTTATGCCTTGTTGGCGCCCCACATTTGTCAATCGGAAAGGAAATCTTAAGGTGTCAGAGACAAACAACAAGGCTTGGTTCCATGAATTGAGGCATAGTGCACATGAGAGGATCTTGCTGTAACACACGGTGCAAAACCAAAGCGCAGCTGGAACTTTAGAGGCTCCTCTCTAGCGATGATAAAATTGGGTTGACCAGTATCTCAGGTGAGCGATGCGAGGTTTTGGGCAAAGCGCCATTCAGGCAAGCCGATATCTGCTCCAACAAGATGCTGTTGCTTTGCCTGACCATATTGTTGGCCCCTGAAGGCGAGCAATCATTGTTGTTTGCAAGGTTATTTCGACCTGGTTCAGCCTGAGACACTTTGCGCAGGCAAAGTGGATATATGACCCGGCGATCCGAGACACTCTTCTCTGTCACGCCACAGGCAAAGCCACCCAGTAAAAAGGCGGCTGCGACACGTACGCTCCTCTCAGGAGCCGCTGCGTGTAGCTAGCACCTTTGCAAAGAGGGAGAGCAGCCAGTCTAGGGTCAAGGTCCTGGCTGCCTTGCAAATCACCCAGGCCCATTCCCCTGACGGCGAGGGCGTCAATCAGCCAGCGTGGAGCGAGCACAAGTGGATCAAATCAGAAAGAGCACATTCATGATCGGAAGCCAGGGTGGTGAAGCAGCAATGCAGAGGTTTCCGCAGAAATGACCATGCGAAACAATCCAGAAAACAGGATCTGGCTTGGATCAACAGAGTGGAGCAAGTACAGAGTGGAGCACGTACCAAGTTGAAGTGGATCCAGCCAGAAGGAGCACCGTCATGATCCGCAAACAGCACGGCACGGTGAAGCAGGAAGTCTGTGCGGAGAAGTCCCGATAACAGGGGCGGGCTTGCGCCATGCACAGCGAGAAGCAAGCACAGGTAGAAGTGCATCAGCCCAGGAGAATGCCAGCAAAGAAAGGAAGCATGTGTAGCTGGAAGGGTCACGGTTCCAGGTGCCGGATGTCACAACTCATGCAGATGAATTCATAGCTTCCTTTGGATTGCCTTGAAAAAACACGCAAAATGGGCTGCGCAATCATCACGTGCATTGGTGTTTTCTTGACATCAACCTGTTTCGTCGAGATCAACATGTCCGTTGAGATCAACATGTCAGCTAACCCTTAGTTGGTGGTTTGGATTGGTGGTTTGGGGACTTGAAGCCCTGGCTTTTGTAGAGGGTAAATGGGACACCCCTCCTGAACCACCAACCCACCGGACTCCAAACAACCTCTTTGCGGGGAACTAATTACCTTACTTCCTGAGCTCCTGGACTTTAGTCACTTTCTGGGTAGACCATTCTAGTGGTAAGCAAACGGTTTGGTGACTTTTTCTGGCCAATCCACTCGATGGGAAGTGGCTGTGGGTCAAAAATAGGTACTCAAAATGGAACCCTGGTAAATGGAGCCAAAGACTAAAATCTGCGGTTTTTTGTTGGCTTAATTTTCACCCACACCCAAGTGAGTAAAGGATTCTTCGGGGCCCTTGGACGTCAGGAGATCTTTGGCCTGGAGGATCAGCCAGGGCCTGTGAGAGGTCTACCTCCCGCCTTGTCCAGGGGGAGGGGGAGAGGGGGGCGAACAGTGCGTTTGGCATATTATGAGTTTTCCCCGTGAAACCTGAAAGGGAAGGACGAAGACACACAGATGATCGGTTTGAGTAGGCAAAGAATGTTGGTTTGAAGTCTTTTTGGTTGGTTTATTCATGGGTATCCGTGTTGGATAGTCCCATGTCGGTTTTTGGTGGCATTGTCGGGTATGGGCGGGGTTTCTGTTGGAGGCTTGCCCTTTTCAAGAGCAGATTTGTTTTTTTTTGTTTATGTTTTTTCCCCCAACAGCTGAAAGCTTTGGGGTCTCAGCCCAGATAGGCTCCGGGGTGGTGCGGGGCGGCCCTGAGGTAAGGTTCCACGAGGGTTCCACGAGGGTTTTCACCAGGGTTCCACGAGATTCTGCGAGGGCTGCGGGGTGCTGCGAGCACTACTGTCAGCCCGGGAAGTCGCATCAATTGCTTGCGGTCATCAGCGTGCCAGTGGGGGAAGGTGTCAGGGTACTTCGCATCAACTTGCGTTAACAGTGGGGAAGCAGCTCATGTGTGATGAAAACTCAGGTGTGCTCGCGGGTGGGGAGCTGCTTCTGCGTGCCAAATGCCGACTTGTTATTGGCAATTTGTGTTTGCCAGAAAGGCTTGTGGAAGAAGAGAAGTGTCGTGCCATGGGGGGGTGCTCACTCGAGCTTCCAAGTTTCGGATTTTGTCTTGTCATGTAGCCGCTAACCGCTAGTGTCATGCATTGTGTTTCACAAGATTCTTCCGAACAGCTGAAAGCGATGGGGTCTCAGCACCAGATCGGCTCCGGGGTGGGTCCGGGGTGGCTTTCAGGCAAGGTTCTGCAGGGTTCTGCAAGGGTTTTGCGAGGGTTCTGCGAGGGTTCTGTGGATGCACACAACAATTCCGAGCAGGATTCAGCGAGGACGGGCTGGCTTGGCAGAGCCAAGTGATCTCGTCTAGATCTCGTGCGGGTCTTTTCTGGATCTCGTCGCGGGCTGGCAGAGAGAGGTGGGCGCAAGCTGTGTTGCGCAATCGCGAGTTTAGGTTTCAGAACATCGCCAAGGGCGCTTCATTTGGACTATTTGTCGAAAGCCCGCGCATACATTTGCGACGAAGTGCTTGCTTGATTCACAATCGCATAGGCAACGCGGATTTTGAGGTGACTAAAACATCGTTGGCTAATAAACTTGACACATATCGCGACGTTACAGTGGCCGAAAAAGTTGAGGTGGCTTTCCGGGGCTGTTGGTGTGCAGCGTTCCATGGGGGCAAGAATCCCGGCGAGAAGTTGAAGCAACTTCCTGTTACAACAGTAAAAAGAGCACCGCATGCTGTTGGGGATATCACCTGATTTGAAAAAAAAGCAAAAATGTGTTCAAAAAAAGTCCAAGAAACCGGGCCGGGGTTCCATATCGATTTGGAGACGATCCCTGATACCGGTGTGGGATGACTTTTGCAATGCCAACGTGTTTTTCCTCCCTTTTTTCCGGGACCAACACCATCCATGGTTTGCTTTGCAATGGATCATGCCCCCACTAAAAGGAGCACAATCCGAAGTAGGCATTCCCCATTTCTAAATGGAGTCAAGGAAAAAGCAACACCTATTTTGGGGGTGCTCCATTTGGAAAGCCCATATCGACAGACACAGAAACAAGCAGAATGCTGATGGTACAGGTGAGACCTGGATCAGTGAGGTCCAGGATCTGAATTCCACACACAGGACTCTCTCCCTCAAATGGATGGTTGGGGGCAGCTCTCCCCCCCTCCCCCACCCCCAGTCAAAACATGACGACCCTTACTTTGCATAGTGTGCCGTTCTATTTCGGTCTCGTGGCCTTGCTTGTTCCCAAAGCAACATGAAAACACGAGACATGTCTCACGATAGAGCAAGTTACCACACAATGAGAACCAATCACGAGATCCGTGTTGAGGATGCGTCGGGGCGCGCTCATGCATCGGAGTTTCCTCATATCGAGTTTCCCACATCTCGTGTCCAGGTGCTAGGGATACACACTATCATGGATATTCTTGGAAAAGCACACATGTTGCCATCCAAGAGCACACCACACACCTGTTATGCAAGGCGGCTGAACATGACCAAAGCAACAAGCAGCCGCAACCACCAAATACCGGCGGAGTTTCACGGATAATGTTCAACAAGGTTTCTTTTCATGCGAAATGGAGACAATGCTGGGATTTGTTCCCACACCTGCACTTTTGTCCATTAAAGTACCTGTTCGTAGCAAATCCATGCTCCCACGCCGAGCTCAAACTACCTAAGCAGCCCGCGAAAGTCAGAACCACCAGCAAGAAAAGCACCCTATCAGGACTGGCAAGACGCACGAACAGGGAGGCTGAAGTGTTTGCCCGCGCTCCTCTGACCAAAATCCGGCTGCAAAATGCAGGTTCATAAGTTGTTCATGCTTGCAGGTTTCACAAAAGAGGCGCCGCAGAGGAACCATGTTTGTATTTTGTCACGTCCCTCAATTTTGCTTTCTGCCGTTGTTCTGAGGCAAGGGTGCGGCGTGGCGTGCGGAAAGCGGGGCACCCAGTGGAGCAATTGTTTTCTTGGAGCGAACCAGCCCTTTTGTCAAGGGCCGTTTTTTTTTTTTTTTTTTTTTTTTTTCCGGGGCTCTGATAAGCAGTTCAGATTCGCTTGCAAAGGCCAAACATGCTGTTGTCTTCTTCGCATCCAAAAGGTCGTCATTCGTTCGCCGTTCAACGAGCCACATTGAGAAGGTTAATGGAGACCAGGGGCCTGAAGCTGGCCAAAGTTTGTCACGATGGCATAGCTGCATTGATCGCAGGCTGCATCAAGATCTTAGTGCTTGGACTTGAGAACTTGAAGATGGCCGGACGGGAGGACTCATGAGCTCACCTAAAGCTTGGGCAGGTTGCTTTTGCTGGACATCCTTGGATCGCTGCAAGAGTGACTTCATGAATGATGGAAACGACAGGTTCTGAGGTCTCTTGGAACCCGGTCGAAGTCAGGCACAACCCACGGGTCCTGCCTTTTCATGGACAGTCAAATCCAATCCTTTGCTCCAGGCTCCTTTGGCAAATCTTTTCAGAACCCCAGCTCATTTGCTGCTCTGTGCCATGTGATTCCCACGTGCCTTGTTAATAGGAAGCTGGCGCCAGTGAGTCCCCAGTAGTCAGCGCGCCTCCCATCTCTTGAGCTAGTCAACCTGCCGGAATCAACGTCCCCGAATTGATAAACCTGGCAGATCCAGACCAGTGCAGGACCGCCTCCAACAAAGGGCACTCCAACTATCAACCAGGGATCTCTTTTCACTCAGAGATCAAAAGAAAGAGCAGCTATTGGGTTGTCCGACAGTTTTTAGTTTGACAAGTCCCGGGCTCCCACTTTCTTGCTTTTTTTGATTCTTTGATGCCATTTGTGTCACTGGCGCCTAGGTTTGCGCCGAACAGCTTGGAGCTGAAGATGCCCTCCCGCGGCGCAGGCTCGAGCATCGTTGGGGTCTGGAAACGCCTGCAGTTGGGCCCGGTGTTTGGGACTTGGGAAGCAAGCCCCGTCTCGGGGTTTGGGGCAGCTGCCAGAAGGGGGAGCGGGTGGGGCGTCCCCATGTTGAGAAGCAAGACGCACGCTGGCTGGCGTGCTTCCCTACAGGGCTGTGCGGGCAGTGATCGGTAGAAGGCCCTCACGCCAAACAGATCGTGTTTTTTTTTGTAGAGAAACTTTGTATCGAAGGGTAGAAAACGCAACGTGCATATCTTGTTCTGAACATGAGAGTTTGTCACGGTAAACGTGGTCAAGCGTGAAGTGACTGTAAAAGTGGTTCAACCATGTCGAACCGACATGCGCATCAACTGGCCCAATATCTTTGCCTAAAAAAAAGGTAAAGAAAAAGCTGGCGATACGCAGCGTGTTCGTATCCTGCACCACCGAAAACACCAGAATCCCAGTCGCTTGCTTTCAGGCATGTCTGGGGTTTTTCGAATTGCGCCCGCTCGGAGGCCCTCCTTTCACCTCGTTGTTATGCCATGCAGCGTGCACCAGACACTCATGGCCGCAACGGCCCGTGGGCCAACCTTCGTCACGTAACGAGCAAGCTTCCGGACTAGCTGGTGCTCGTGCAGCTGGGGACTCGTCCTTGGACACAACAACAATGCAGCGAGCGCAGACCAGGCGCTCAACAACTGGCTTTGTAGCACTATGCTATGGGATTCGCCCATGCAATCAGAATGAGAATTTGGGCGAGCTCTGAATTGAGATTGTATTCTTGTCCAAAAAGGGCAACTGGTGGCGAGTTCTTTCCTTGCACCCATTCATGCCATCGAGGGTCCCTGGGCTGATGTTTCATGAGGGAAATGGGGGTGTCTTTTTGTGGAGTTGATTGTACCCTTTTTGAGCTTGGTTCAAACCTTCCATTTTCTTAAGAGTATGCGTGATTGTCCCTTGTTGGTTTTAAAGGGAATCAATCACTACTGGACACATGATGTTGTTCTTGCCAGGGGGCGAAAACGCAAAGGGGTTTCCTCATGAGACACGCCCCAAAAACCAGCCCTGAGATTTCCCAGCCACGCGCACAGGACACAAGCTCCTGGCGCCAGCCAGCCTCTTGCAGTGTGCTGCGCTGAGGTGTTCCATCGAATGAAGTCAACCGTTGGCATGGGAGGCCATCAAAGCATCTTGTTTCATGGCGCCAGTGTTTGTTGTTTGTGGGTTGTAAGGAGAAGAGGAACAACATCTTGCAATTCCAACCTAAAGAAAGGAACCACAGCCCGGGACAACGAAGTGGAGCTCCAAAAGCGGCAGGTCAACGATTCTGTGAATTTGTTATAAGTTCCAAGCCCTTCTTTGGTTTCCAAAAAGCCCAAGGCAAGACTCTGTTTTGGTGGCACTGAGTCATGGCGGCCGTTGAGTATCGGAGAGACACACGGGTTCCGATAACTTGCAGAGCGTCACGTCTCTCGTATCCGAAAGAAACACCCAATTCTGGGAATGAGGGGAATGTGTTTCAACAATTGAACCGGTGCTGCAGGTCGTAAATGAACACCGTTCAATGGTGTCGAGCGACAGACGTACTCTAAGTATCCCAGGGGCAGGAGCACCTAGTCGCATTCCCTGTCATGGCGATTCATATCCAGGGTGTATGTGCAAGCCCAGCCCATCCAAATCGAGAGTGATCGAGAGTGGCTTATTGAAACCATTTGGCCAACGGTTTTCATACCTCCACCATTCGTTTCTCAGTCAGCCAAGGGCGCTGATCAGAAGCATTGCTTGGTTTCCGTAGAGCAAACCGCGATATCGCGTATATCACTCCATCAGTTTTCAGGCCAGGACAATCCCACACCTGCTTGTTGGTCGGTGAATTCTGCGGGAGGGTCCAAAATCGAGGAGTTCGGCCAGCACTTGGGGCACAAAAATACGGTTGAGCGAGGAGATGGGCTGAGGGACCTGCAGTATCCAAACGCAACCAAGTGCTTTGTGCAACACATATCTAGGTCCCCCAGTAGTGCCCTTTCCCACCCTTTTTTGGGGGAGGGTTCCCCTACTAAAATAGACTACAGAAAAAAGTTGGTACCCTTATTCTATCCTCTCTACTGGAGGACCTATGAATTTCAATGGGAAACCACCTCAAAAGTAGTTGGTGGACATAAATTCAAATAAAAAGTTCACACCCATATTATGTAGAGCCATTTTTTGGGTTGCTTGAAGAGCATCTGTCCAGTCCGCCCCCCCCCCAAAAAAAAAAACACGAGATGTAGCTGCTGCTCCAGCTTCACTGCAGCCGCATCTAGAAAGAAACAAAGCTGGTGAAAGGAGGCTATGATTGGAGCAGCTCTCAAGTGCTTCCCTTGGTTTCTATAATCTGGGTGTGTCTTTTTATTGAGGAGCCCCGAAACCAGTGGCTTCCCTTTAGTTTTCCTTTTAAAAGCAACCCAAAAAGGGTTCTCTCAAAAAAAAACACCAAACTAGCCCTCCCTGCAACAATCATGGAAGTGTAGATGGGGCTTCCCCAAAGGTCAGCTTCCATAGAACTCCATCTGCCTATTGTATAGCGAGCTCACCCGGAGGTAGAGCGAGCTCACCATGATAAAGGTCCTTCACTTGGGAATCCAACTCTCAATTCAGGCTGTTGGAATTATGGTAAACAAATGCAGATCCCATGGTTGGAGGGAGGGTCGCTCTTGCTGAGGCCTGGAGTTTTGCGCGCCTGTGGAGCCTTGGCAAAGTTTTCCGCTGGCCATAGTCGCAGGGTGTTTGGCCGGGCGGCTTGTCCCTTGAGAATTCGTAGCGGACAAGACGTTATTATGAGGAAAGCGATGGGCCCTGACAAAAAGGGACGCCCCTATTCATGAACCAGGGGTTTCTTCAATTCTTCAGCTTGGGTCAACATTAGTGCTGCAAGTGCTCCCGTTTGCCACCTCTTCCTGGATACATTTGCTCCCTTGACAGTTGTAGGGGAAGCCTAACTCATGTGTCATTGACCGATACCCTCGCTAAACATGAACACAGGCCATAGCTGAGAAGTCACCGTGCCACGCGCTGCTGTCATGTTTTATATCCATCCTTTTGGCATTGAGGTGTCCAGTTGATTCGACTGGGGCCATTTGGGTGCACGATCATCGCTTGTAGAACCTTGCTATGCATCTCAAGATACCTCATGTGGGCGAAACCTATTCCCCCAGTTTGGTTTGGTCACGCCCCTTTGCCGAGGGAATGGTGCCAATATCCTCGGTGGAGCCTCGAGTCGATGGGCTCAGGGCACCATGTCGCTGCGGAGCAAAGTGGCCGCAGCCGGCCTTGCCTGGCCCCCAGTGGCTCAGCTTCGCGCTGGGTTTGGAGAGTTTGTTTGGGCTTGGGGATTTGTCCAAAACTCGGCCATTCCCCCCGAAGTGCTGGTTTCCATTTGGTATACCCGCAAGTGCAGAAAGGGCGCCTTCGAAAGAGACGCCATGAGTGGCCAATCAACTCACCCAGCGTTGTACAATATGAAGACACCTCACAAGAACAACTTGGAATATCATATGTTGTTGATTGAATTCATACAGCAGTCATGGCAGCTTGTTGTTTTGGTGCGGCCAAATTGTTGCACATTGGAACCGCGGGGTGCCAAGGGCGGCGCCGCTTTTATGGAGCATGAGCTGGGAGTAGTGCTGCGTGCATGGAACCAGTTCCCTCAAGTATAGGATGTCGTGGCTGGCAAGAATGAGAATGGCAGGCGTTCGAGGGGACCCCGCAAAAGCTCCCACAAGAAAGCCTCCAGGCCTTATCAGTTGAGAAAAGCCCCTGTTGGGATTGGCGGGTCCGATTTCGGAACACCTCATCCAAGCCACCAACTAGAGAATAGAGAGGAGCTGATTTTCCATACCTACCTTCACCCAGATGTTTTGCAACTTGCCAAGGTAACCTTTGAGTTCCCCATGTCGGGCTTTACGATACGCCAGCTGGGCCCCTGGGCTGATGGATTTAGTGCTTTTTCCAGAACTTGAAGAGAAACCAAGGCCGGCGTCCAGCTCTTCAGTATCCTCCTCTGGGCGGTGGTGCTGGAGCTCCCGGAGCTCGGGGAGGCCGACCACGCCCCCGAAAACGCCCCGAAAACGGAAGACGCGGAGGTCGGAAGATGGGTGTGGTGTGGTGTGGGTGTGTTGCGTTGTGTTGTGTTGTTGTGTTGTGTTGCGTTGTGTTGTGTTGTTGTGTTGTGTTGTGTTGTGTTGTGTTGTGGTGTGTTGTGTGGTGTGTTGTGTGGTGTTGCGTTGTGTTGTTTTGTGTTGTGTTGTGTTGTGGTGTGTTGTGTGGTGTGTTGTGTGGTGTGTTGTGTGGTGTTGCGTTGTGTTGTTTTGTGTTGTGTTGTGTTGTGGTGTGTTGTGGTGTGTTGTGTGGTGTGGTGTGTTGCGTTGTGTTGTGTTGTTGTGTTGCGTTGTGTTGTGTTGTGGTGTGTTGTGTGGTGTGTTGTGTGGTGTTGCGTTGTGTTGTTTTGTGTTGTGTTGTGTTGTGGTGTGTTGTGGTGTGTTGTGTGGTGTGTTGTGTGGTGTTGCGTTGTGTTGTTTTGTGTTGTGTTGTGTTGTGGTGTGTTGTGTTGTGTTGTGTGGTGTGTTGTGTGGTGTTGCGTTGTGTTGTTTTGTGTTGTGTTGTGTTGTGGTGTGTTGCGTTGTGTTGTGTTGTTGTGTTGTGTTGTGTTGTGTTGTGTTGTGGTGTGTTGTGTGGTGTGTTGTGTGGTGTTGCGTTGTGTTGTTTTGTGTTGTGTTGTGTTGTGGTGTGTTGTGGTGTGTTGTGTGGTGTGGTGTGTTGCGTTGTGTTGTGTTGTTGTGTTGTGTTGTGTTGTGTTGTGTTGTGGTGTGTTGTGTGGTGTGTTGTGTGGTGTTGCGTTGTGTTGTTTTGTGTTGTGTTGTG